ACATAGTGATATGACAAATCAACCATGAAGACCAGGGAGCTTTCCAAACAAGTCAGGGATAAACTGGTAGAGAAGCAAAGATCACGAGAAGGGTACAAGAAAATTTGAAAGTCACTGATTATCCCTCTTAGTACGTAAGGTCTATCATTAAGAAGTGGAATGTGCTTCATATCACCCAGTCACTAACCAGATCAGGCCGCCCTTCCAAACTAAGCCGCCGATAAAACAGAAAACTGATTAGGGATGCCACTGTGAAGCCAACAGTGATTTTGAAAGATTTGCAAAGTTCCATGTCTGAGATGGGAGTCAATGTTAATATGTAGACAATATCCTGGTCAATACACAAAGTTGGCCTGTATGGGCGAGTGGCAAGAAAGAAGCCATTACTGAAAAAAGAATCATCTTAAATCTTGCACAGTGTTTGCGACAAAGTATGTAAATGATATTGTAGACACGTGGCAGAAAGTTTTGTGATTCGGCGAAACAAAAATTGAGTTTTTTGGTCTAAATTCAAAGCGTTACATCTGGCACAAGCCCAACACAGCACATCACCCAGTCAACACCATCCCAACTGTCAACCATGGTGTTCTCATCAGGAGGGTCTGGGAAGCTTGTCAGAATTGAGGGGAAGATGGATGGTGCAAAGTACGGGTGAATCCTAGAGGAAAACCTGTTTGAGTCAGCCAAGAATCTAAAACTGGGTCGAAAATTTACATTTCACCAGGACAATGACCCGAAGCCATAGGCCAAAGCCACACTGGAGTGGTTTCAAAAGAAAAAATTGAATGTCCTGGAGTGACCCAGTCAAAGAACTGACTTGAATCCAATAGAAAATTTATGGCAAGACTTGAAGATTGCAGTCCATCAATGATCCTCAATGAACTTGTCAGAATTTTGCCAGGAAGAATAGACAAAAATTACACCATCCCATTGTGCAAAGCTGGTAGAGACCTATCCAAAAAGACTCACAGTAGTAATTGCTACCAAAGGTGCTTCCACCAAGTACTGACTTAGGGGGCTGAATACTTATACAGTCAGCAAATTTCAATTTATGTATTTTATTTGCAGGTTTTGTTTACATTCAACCTCCTTCACACATAACATTGTTAAGTTTGATCATTAGAGTTTTGAATAAAAACAATTTCTTTAAAAAAATTGTTTACATTATTTGTATTTCATCAAAATGTAACATTATTGGTAGGGGTGAATACTTTTACAAAGCAACGTAAATACAAACAGTAACTAAGAAACTTATAATATAAATAACAATTAGGATCTCAGAGACCCAT